CCTTTCTTGCCTTATGGCCCTGGCTAGGACTTCCAGTACAATGTTGAATAGAAATGGTGATAGCGGGCATCCTTGTCTAGTTCCTGTTCTCAAGAGGAATGGTTTCAGTCTCTCTCCATTGAGAATAATGTTGGCTCTTAGTTTTGCATAAATGCCCTTTATTATGTTGAGGAATGAAGACATAGTATTTTTAATCATCTCATATGCATGTGAACTCTAGACAATGAATAAGGAAGATCAAAGAAGAATTGGTGCCTTTGAATTATGAGGTTAGCAAAGAATAATGAACATACTGTGTACTTCCAGAAGAAGGAGCAAATATGTCTTGGAAGAAGTACAGCAAGGATGGGCCTTAGAGTGAAGATGGGGAAACTTGATCTCACTTACTTTGAATATGTCTTCAGGAGAGTGAAGTCCATGAAGAAGAACATCATGCTTGGTAAATTAGGTCAGCAAAAAAGAGGAAGACCTTCAATAAGATGGATTGACATGGTGGCTACAGCAGTGGTTTCAAACATTACAATGAGTGTGAGGATGTCCCATGACCAGACAGTGTTTCATTCTGTTGTACATAGTGTCACTATGAGTTGGAAGAGACTCGATGGAACCTAAGAACAACATGAGGGGAAAAGGATGTTAATGCAGCTAGTATTTGTTAAGTGCTCACTATGTGAGCTCTGGTAGCATAGTGGCTAAAGCACATGACTGCTAACCAGAAGGCTGGCAGTTCAAACCCATCAGCCACTCCTCGGAAGGAAGGTTGGGCAGTCCTACTTCCGTAGTGATACTGCCTCGGAAACCCAAGGAGGGGTCGCTATGAGTCGGGGCCAACCTGATGGCACATAACAACAACAACAACATGTGCTAAGCCCAGGTTAGGGAATGGTGACTGACTCAGACAGGCTCTTACCCTCTCAGAGTTTACAGTTTACACAGGAGAATCATCCATGATCCCATCTCCTGGTAACTACTACCAGTGCAAGTTTTTTGGCCCATATGATGCCTGTTTGCAACTTAGGCATTGTTCCTACTTAATGTGTGATAAGCCAGCTGTACAGTTCAAAGTTACATAGGTACTTGGTCTAGTAACAGGGACAATTTGCCAGCCCACTTGGCTGTCTTCCTATTAGTTAGTCTGGGTCTGCTGCTTTCTGCTCAGTTGTGAGTAATTGAACAATTCTAGATGCAGTTGTGATTCTAAGTGCAGAAAGAGCATGTGATTGCACCTCTGCTTCTGTTTCCCAGACATCACTCCTTGGGTTGCTGCAACCATTGTGCATACACTGTTCCCCTCTTCTTTTTAGCTTATTGTAGGAAATTTGGAAAATTTAGAAAGGAGCTCCCAGGAACTGTTCCAAAGAAAGCTGAAACATTTTACATTGTTTCTCTCTGGGTTTGAAAGCACTCTTTTGTTTTATTTCAGTGTTACTTTGGTTTTCTTCCTTCATCTCTTCTTTGTCTCATTGTAGAAGCCTCCTTCCCCTGACACACATACCTGCAATTGTCAGGTGCTCCCTATAAAAAACAAAACAACTCAAAAGTATAGAGAAGGTGAGAGATGACATGTGAAACAATTTATTCTTGTGAAAGAATGTTCAGGCTCAACAGTAAGAAATACCCATTGAAATTCTGATGTGAAAGGCTAGAGAAACAGTTGTTCTTATCCACTGCTGGTAGAAGGCTAGAACATTTTGAAGAAGAATTTGGCTGTCACTGCCAGGATAATAGTTGTATACACCTTCAGCTCCACACTCCATATCCAGGAATGTGTCCCACACATGTGTGTGAGGACAATTGCAACAGAACTTAGGTTAGCAACAGGTGGTAAACAGGAAAAAACCATGCAATGAGAAAGTTAACAGCTGCTAAAAAGAATGTATTGGAAGTTGGCTAAAATGTATTAAATATAAAAGACAAGCTATAGAATGTGTCCATGAGTGTGGTCCATGTGTGTGTTAAATAAGCATATTTGTTTCTGTGTGCATGGATGTTCTCTGCATATGCAGGAAGCTAAAGGATGGAACTGGATGACTGGGCAGGACTTGGGCAGGTTTACTCTATGTCCTTTTATAGCCACTGAATTTTGTGTTGATGTATGAGTGACCTATTCCAAAATAAAGTTAAGGCTATAATTAAGAAATCTTTAGTGCTAAGACTGCCCCTTCCTTGGCACAGTATTCCCAGAGTCACGCCTGGGGCTGCTTTGGGTGACATGAGGAGAGAGTCACTTGTCCACATTGACCCCTTCCTAGTATCAGATTTGGGGACCAAGTCACAAAAACTCTAGACTCTTACAGTATGACTCTGGGCCTGACCATTTGTGAAGATGTACTAATACTTATTTTCTTGTTTCTTCTTCCATGACATTTTAGGGGAGGGGACCACCGTGTGGAGCTGTACAAGGTAAGATGCAGGCACTAGATGATGCAGGCACAGGGTGACATAGACAGCATGTGCACGTGAAGTACAGACCACGCCCCATGTACTGCTTCCTTGCTATCATTTTAGGAGGCATGACCAGAAGCAAGTCATAATTTTGAAAGTTGATCATAGCCTTTTATAGAAGTGCTGGAAGGCACTGCCCCAGCTGACTCTGCCTTAAAATGCTTCCCACAGTGCTGCCTCAAGGGGTACTTTTCAAAAATTAGGGAGTGTTTATTTTGTGGATCATATGCCAGATACTGTCAAATTACATAAAATGTATTTAAAATGGCTTTTAAGTGCTGTGTTACTCATAAACACAATGAATAAGGAAAATTCTGTGGCCAGGGAGCTCTACAGCACTGCTAGTTGTAAGAGCACAGATTTGTGCTGGTATAGACATTCTCCACATTCAACATGATTTGCTCTCAGATGTGAATCAGACATTCCTTACAGACTCAGTGGAAGTGCCAGCAGGATTTAACAGATACAGAGTGGTACCTCAGTGGTACAGGCATCCACACCTGTGCTTTTGGTTTATTCTGTTCTTCATCAGGGGTGTTTGGGTGTCAGAGCCACCCACATTTGTTCCCTTCGTGCTGCCCTTAAATGGACATCTTTATTTGCTAGTAGGGCAAAAAAGAGCTGAAGCCCGTATGTGGGTACGTTACAGCTCTGGGCTGTTAACAGGCCTTTTCCCCCCTTGAACTTTATACATTTGATTACATAAGGGGAGGGGACTGAATGCCGACATTTTTTCCAGCAAGCCTTAAAGAAAAGAAATTGGGTACATTTTCAGATACCCAGCAATGGAGCAGGCCCTCCATATGGGTTCTTAAATGGATAGACTTGGCCCTGTTTGTTACTTCCTGCCCACAGTGCTACCTGGGAAGGACATTGAAGTGAGATTTGTATAACCATGGCCTTCCTGCTCCCTGGGAGTGCCCTTGAAAGGTTGGAGCATCCCCTGCAAAGACTGAAATAGACCTAAAGCCTTTAAGGAGAACAGTTTGGGCTGGCCCCAACCAGAATCAATGTCTCTTCTCCAGATCAGATCATTTCAAAGAAACAGACCTGGCAGGTCAGTCACTGCAATTGCTCCCCTTCTTATGTACTAGAGAAACTCAGGTTAGAAAACACCTGCCACATCTGCCACTGATAAGGAGACTGGACAGTGTTCCTAGGACAGCCTGATATGTAGATCTCCTTATGACAGCATGCACAGCCTCTTTCTCAATACTCTATAGTTACCTCAGTTGAGAGAGCATTAGAAACAGGGTTTGTTTGTGACTACAGGGATATAAAGAACATGCAGTCTAAAGAAAGGAGAAACATTTCATAGACACAAAGGTGCTGTGGGAAGTGGCCTCTCACCCTTCCTGACGTAGAGAACATAATGCAGCAGGAGCTGACTCATGCTGTAGCTCACACTTCTCAGCACCCTGGTGTGGGCACACAAAGTGGATTCTTCTGTGTGGCCCCTCCTGAAGTCTGGGTCTGTTGGTGAGGGGTGGGAGTGAGGATCTAAATGGAGGTACAGCAAGAAAAAATGCCACAAAAGCTTAAAATCTGAGAAATGCTGGGTTGCAGAAATGGATCCCAAATCGAGGTCTGCACTCGGATATTCCTCCTCCTTCCAGATCCCCCACTCTTCATGCTGGGGTTTTAAGTCCTCTGAGCCAGAGGACATTGAATGTCTTTCCTTGTGTGCAGGTCAGTGAGACAAAACTCCAGGTGACTTTAGTCAGAGACAAAGTTATCCTCATCGAGGTGCTTGGATTTGTTGCCAAACCTGTTTATTTTCGTTTCACAGGTGCTGAGTTCCCTTGGTTACCATGTCGTCACCTTTGATTACAGAGGTGAGATTTCTTTGGAAGAGGCACCGGAGTATAGTCTCCTTTTGACCTGTCCTTTGATGGCCTCTGAGCAAGCCTAGCGGCCAAAGGTAGAACAAGAGGTATACCTCACTGTGGGCCTCTGGAGCCCCCATGATATGACCTCTTTCAGAGGAACTCAGGTCTTTCTACTGTTGGGCTGAGAGCCAATCCATGTAAGAAATGCTGTTTCATTTTTCTGCTGGACTCAGATATTCCCCACAGCTTTATGTTCAGCAGAGCTTGTCTTGTTCTGAAAATAAGAAAATGGAAAGGGAATTGCTAAGGGAGAATAAGTATTTCTTCCTTTTTTTTTTTTTTTTTTTTAAATTTTAGTGTGCTTTGGGTGCAAATTTACAGAACAAAATTTATTTTACATCCAATAGTTCATGTATGTTTGATTTCACACTGTGATTACCTAGGGATATATCCTAGATCAAGGATAGATTTAGCTAAAGATAATCTTACATACGTGCTTGTGCTACCATCCCAGACCATAACAAACTCTCCTACCCTCCTTCCCCTGTGACTGTCTCCTCCCAGTGCCCTTCTTAACTATGCACTTCTGTCTGTCCAGCTTTCCCTCTATGTGATGCTGTCCCTTTGGCGCTCCATGGCCTATTGCTCTAAGGGGTATATCTCTCTCGAGTAGGGGGGTGCATCACCTTGGGATGGGTGTTCTGCATATAGGTCTTTCTACTGTTGGACTGAGAACCAATCCATGGGAGTGAGTCCAATACCAGGCCTGAAGGGTAACCTGAGGCCATAGTCTTGGGGGTTCCACCAGACTCTATCCAACCAGTAATTCTGGTCATTTTTGTGCTTTTGGATTTTGTTCCACATTTTCCCTCCCACTCTATCCAGGATCTCCAGTTTTGATCCCTTTCCGAGTGGTTGGCATTGATAGCGAGGCACCATCTAGTTTTTCTGGTCTCAGGGTCCATCATATCCTTGGACTGTTTCCAGATGCCTTTGATTTTCTTCAGTCTTCTTTGCTTCAGTTGAGAGGAGACCAATAGCTGCATCTTAGAAGGCCGCTGGAAAGCTTTTAAGATCCCAGTCACTGCTCACCAAAGTTGGTTGTGGAGCAAGATTTTTTACATATTATGTTGTGCCAATTGAGTTTGGTGTCCCCTGAAACTGTGGTCCCAAGTCAGCAGGCCTGGTATTTCTCTCTCTCAAGGTGTATGGCTGTCTATGAGAGATTACTCCAACTCTGTCTTCCATTGCTTCTGTAATGTGTGGCTAGTTTTGTAGCACACACACATATGTAAGATTATCTTCAGCTAAATCTATCCTTGATCTAGGATGTATCCCTGTTCGCCAACTTCCACCTGATCTTCTCACTTGTCTATGCATTTCTCTCTAGCCTGATGTTTGACGTTAGTGGTAATGCAGTATTGTGCATACACTAGTATTTGCCTCTGTTGCCTATATCTTAGGTGCACATTTTAGTGTCCTTCCTTTTCCCAATGCCATCATGCTGGTCACAGACTCTTTTCATACCATCCTTCCCCTCACCCACATCAACTTGTGACCCCCAACTAGTCCGAAATTTTCTCTCCCCTTCCCTCTCATCCCTGGTAACCTACAAAGTGAGTTTCCTTCCCTAAGTAAACCTTTCCTTGACTTTTTACAATAATGGGCTCATATACAATATTTGTCCTGTGATTGACCTATTTCACTCAGCATAATGTCCTCCAAATCCATCCACATTGTGAGATGATTTGTGTATTCGTCATAATTCTTTAATGTAAGTAATATTCCACTGTGTGAACGTACCATAGTTTGGTTATCCATTCATCTGTGGATTGGCATTTAGGTTGTTTTCATCTCTTTGCTATAGTGAATTGTGCTGCGATGAACATGGGTGTGCATATGTTTGTTCGTGTCCTGTCTTTCACCTCTTTAGGAAATATACTTAGTAATGGAATTGCTGGATCAAATGGTATTCCTGTCTTCAGTTTTTTTTGTGTGTGTGTGTGTGATTTGGGTGAAAGTATACAGGGCAAATTCATTTCCATACAGCAGTTCACATACACTTTGTCTCATGACATTGACTACAGTTTACCATAATGCAACAGTTCCCCTCCCACTTCTTCCCCATAGTTACCTCTTCCCTATGTCCTTCCCTCCATGCACTCCTGCCCTCTGAACTGTTTCCCTGTGCATAAACTGTCCTTCTTTCTCCCATGATTGTTCTCTCCAAGGAGTGTATCTACCTAGTGTAAATGTTCACCTCATATGCCTGTCTTTTGTTGGCTGGAAGCCACAGGTGTGGGTTCAATTCCAAACCTGAAGGGCAGCTAGGGGCCATAACTTCAGTGGTTCCACCAGGCTCTATCAGACCAGCAAACTTGGTCCCCCCCCCCCCTTTTTTTTTTTTTCCCAAATGATTTTGAGTTTTGTTCCACATTGTTCTCCCTCTCTATCCAGGATCTCCTACATATATCATCCCCCAGATGAATTTTCAGTTTTTTAAGGAAACACCACACCATTTTCCACACGGGTTGTACCATTTTGCAGTCCCACCAGCAGTATATGAGAGTTCCAAGGTCTCCACAACCTCACCAACATTTAAAATTTCTGTCTTGTTGAACTTTGCTATTATTGCTGGGGTGCGATGATATCTCATTGTTGTTTTGATTTGCAGCTCTCTAATGACTGATGATTGTGAGCATTTCCTCATGTGTTCGTTGGCTGCCAGTATATCATCTTTAGTGAAATGTCTGTTCATGTCCCTTGCCCATTTTTGAACTGGATTGTTTGTCTTTTTGTTGTTGAGGTGTTGAAGTTTTCTATAAATTTTGGAGATAAGTCTTTCGTCAGATATGTCATAGCCAATATGTTTTCCCAATCTATAGGTTCTCTTTTTACCCTTTTGGAGAAGTCCTTTGATGCAAATAGGAATTTAATTTTTGGTCTTTTTTTTTTTTTCTTTGTCTCTAAGGTGTATCTCTTGTAGATAGCATATTGATGGTTATGTTTTCTTATCCAGTCTGCAACTCTGTGTATCTTGAGTGGTGCATTTAATCCATTGACATTCAGTGTAATTATTGACAAGTATGAATTTGTTGCTGTCATTTTGTTACGTGCCTTTTTGTGATGTTGCTGATTTCTTTGTTCCATATAATTTTCTGTGCTGGCTGGTTTTGTTTATGAATCATATTATCATTTCCTTCCCTTTTAGTATTTGCTAAATATTTGTGCTGGTCCTCTTTTTTTTATTTTGATGTGAAGGTTTATCATTTTTCTTTGAGGTTACCCTGTGATTTGTAATTTTCCTCCCAAGTTTAGAACAGTCCATCCTGTTTTGCAGTTGTCTTGACTTCCCTACCATTTAGAAGTTCTGTAACTATACAGTTTTTTCCCTCTTTTTGGTTTGTAGTTGTCCTTATTTATCAGTTGATATCTCTGGTTCCTTGTATACAATCTTGTAGGTTTATTTACTTTGGATACTTCCATAACTGTGTTGGTTTCTGGGTTATGTCATCATGTGTGTTAGTGGTCAGTTGTTGTTTGCTGTTGTTGGTTCTATGTCCAAAGGATTCCCTTTAGCATCTTTTGTAAGGTTGGTCTGGTTTTAACAAATTCCCTTAATTTCTGATTATCTGGAAATGTCCTAATTTCACCATCATGTTTGAGGCACAGTTTTGCTGGGTATATAATTCTTGCTTGTGTATATTTTTCTTTCAGGGTTTTATATATACCATCCTGTTTTCTTCTAGCCTGCATGGTTTCTGCCAAGAAATCAGAGTTTATTGTCATTGGTAATGCCTTTTGTAGGTTACTTTTTGTTTTTCTGGTGTGCTTTCAGGATTCTTTCTTTGTCTTTAGTTTTGGTGAGCTTGATGATGATATGTCTTGGTGATTTTCTTTTGGGGTCTGTCCTGTTTGGGGTTCATTGGACTTCTTGAATGGATATATTCTCATCTTTCATCATACCAGGGAAATTCTCTTCCAAAAGAAATTATCTTTTCAACAGTTTTCTCTGTGGTTTTATTTGTTTCTTCCTGTTCTAGAATTCCAATTACATGTTGGTTATTCCTTTTGATGGTATCCCACATGAACTTAGGCTTTCTTCATTTTGTTTTTATCTGTTTTCTGATTGATCCCTTTCCAAAGAAGTATTGAGGTATTTGTCTTCAGTCCCACTAGTTCTGTCTTTCATTGATTCAATTCTACTCCTTTGCCTGTTCAATGTGTTATCTATTTCTGAAAATTTAGTACTAATCTTCTAGATTTCTATCTGTAGGTTTTGTATCATTTCTAATTTTTCATTTTGTCCTTGTCTTTTAAAATTTTCTAGGGTTTTCTCTGTTTTTCCTCAACTTTTTCAGTGTTTTCATTGATCTGTCTCTTAATCCATTGAAGGTACCTAAATATAATTCTTTTGAATTCCTTATCAGGCAGTTCCAATGCTGCTGATTCCTCAGGGTTGTGTTCTGGGTCTGTATCCTGGTCTCCTGTTTCTTCTGCTTTATCTTGCTTCTTTGTGTAGACTGTGATACTCTTTTGTCTCTGAGATATTGTAACATTTTTGTGTTTATATTTAATTGATGATTGTGTGTTGGAGTGACTTGCCCACGATTTTTCTTTTCTTTGCATAGTATCTATGTAAGCAGGATACTGTGCTCCTCTATTTGCTAGTTGGCAGTACTTATACACTCACCACCTGTCTCCTTTCCCATTGTCAGCCTCCCATATGTCCCTGCCATCCTTGGCAGACAGAGCCTATTCTTAGGATCCTTGAATCCAAATGAGAATGCTGTCAGTTTAAAATTCAAAATGGCTGTGGCTTGTAAACTTTCAAAATGGCTGTGCTCTCAGTCACTTTTAATATCCAAAATGGCCACCATTTGTAAACATTCAAAGTGACTACACCTTCAGTCACTTTAAATATCCAAAATGGCCACCGCTTATAAACAATCAAAATGGCTGTGCCCTCCAGACAGCAGAAAATCCACAGCTCAGGTTGTCTCCCTCCTTGTCTTTTCCCTTTCTAGTCATAGGCCACCAGCGCAGTCATCCTGAAGCCCTTGGTGACTAGGTCAATTTTAGGTCCCAGCACCACTTGGAAATATTCCGGCTGTTGGTCCCATCAGAGTAGCTGATAGCCCACAGCTCCATCTCTGTACTCACTGTTTTCATTCAGGTTTGTCCACTAGTTGGTGCCTAATCCACTTCTGTGTACTTCCTTTCAAAGTTCAGGGCTCCAGGATTATCTTCTGTATCTCTGTCAATTAGTTCTCTTTTCTTTGTTGAAGAAGGCCTGTGTAGCTTGTCTGCCTATTCTACCATCTTACCAGAAGTCTCCTTATTCCTTTTTTGAATGAATCATTGGGCTTGCCACTGAAAGATCATGTTTTTTCAGATCAAGAACCAACTGTTTGATGTATGCTAAGAACATTTTTCCTTAATGACCATGAAAAATACTTTGTATCAAAATTGAGCAACTATTTAAAAAGTGTATTTCTCTATATAGTCCTACATTAGAGATAAAGGGGTGCTTGGCTGGCTGTCACATTTTGACCTTGGAGGAGGGCAGTGGTATCAAATGTGCTCAGACCAAGTGGCAGCAGGGGAGGGGTCAAGATAAGCAGTTATTGGCTGGATATGGAGGTTGTTTCAGTTTCATCTGGTGCTGTAACAAATAACTGCAAACTCAGTGGCTTAAGGCAACAGAAATTTTTGATCCACAGTTCTAGAGGTCAGGAGGCTAAAAATGGTCTCACTGAGCTAAAATCAAGGTGTTGGGTAAGCAGGGTTGTGTTCTCCTGGATGTTCTAGGGACCATCCCTTTCCTTGCCTTTTTCATTTTCTAGTGAAAAGCTCATTCCTTGGCTTGAGGCTATCGGCCGTCTTCCACCTTCAAAGCCAGCAGTGGCTGGAGTGTTTCTCACATTGCATTTTTCTGACTCCTACTCTGACTCGCTTGCTAGCCTCTTTCATTTCTAAGGACCCATATGATTACATTGGGCCCACCTGGATAATCCAGAATACTCTACCTATGTCAAGGTCAACAAATTGGTGAACTTAATTCCTTCTTCAACTATAATTCTCCCTTCCATGTAACCTAACATATTCACATGTTTTGGGGTTTAGGTTGTGGCCATCTTTGGGAGGTCACTGGAGTGGTTCTCGCACTTCAGTTCTGAACTGGGTAAAACTTCAAATGAAAGAGCTGGAAAGTAGTTCACTCTTGTCTTCTTCATGCTGTCCCTACTACATGCTACAGGCCTTAGGATAAAAAAAGGGAGCAGCCTTTTTCCTTTTCCCACTCCTTGTATTTCTATCAAGTAGTGAAATTCCACAGTTAGCTTCAAGCACATTCTTTTCCATCCTGTATAAGAAACTCCTGGGGACCTGCCCCATCAGCACTTCTAGACATCCATGAGTGGTTTATCTCAGGGAGATTCCACTTATGAACATCCTTCAGTGGACTAAGATGGTACTGCCAGAATGGTAAACTGGGCTCAGCCCTTCATTCTGTACTTCCCACTCTGTTCCTGCTAGCCTTGCTCTGCCTCTGTCTCTGTGTCTCTATATCTCTGCACTATGTCTCTGTGCCTCTGTATCTGTGTTTCTACCTGTCTCTGACTATGTCTCTTTATCTGTGTCTGTGTATCTGATTCTGTCTCTCTATGACTGTCTTTGTCTGTCTCTCCCTCTGCCTGTGTGTCCTGAGCTTGTCTCCCCTGCCGCTGTACAACTGTTTGGGAGGGTAGGGTAGGCTGCTCTGCACACAGACTGTGGGTTTGCTTATGCAGCAGAACCTCTCTTTATAAGCTTTGTGGTTTCAGATCATTTGATGATGACTCATTGCTGAGCTGCCAAAAATGACAATTGCACTTGACCTTTCCTGGAGACTCAGGGATGAGTAGGGAGGCCCATGGAAAGGGTATTTTTCAAACACTGATGCCAGAGATGTTAGTAATGTGGGTACAGAAATGGTTGGCTTTTGTCTATTATGCAAATGAGATGCTAATTGTACACTGAGATAAAACCAAGTTCCCTTCCCTTTCTTGGTCAGCAATCAGAGTTGCCGTAAACCAGAAAATTGCTTCCTTGATTCCCTTCTTTCCTGGGGGACTGACAAAAGCTGGGCCTAGAAGTCAGGACCAGGACCAGGTTCCTCCCCAGCAGGCATCAAGGTGCTCCTGGCACTTCCAGTGGTCCTTATCCAGGGCATCTGGACTGGCCTTGGCTCATTGGTGGGGGAATTGTTTTGCTCCCTCTGCCCACCTCGGGCCCCTATTAGATGCTTCACCCTGGACCAGCCATCACCAAGGCCTAAAGTGCCAGGAGATTCATGAGCACAAGTCTGTGGCTGGCAGTAATCTTGGGTTCAGGTTTGACTGCCACTGTCTGCACAACAGTCAGTAACTGGCAGAGGTCTTGGGGTCAGGTGTAAACTCACCTGTTGCACAGCAGTCAATAATCAGTAGGAGTCTCAGAGTCTGAATGCCATAACAGCAGCTCCTCAGGACTTAGTCAAGGGTGCATGGACAGTCTGGTGGCTTTAGGGATTGTAACATGGGTAAGGAGGTGGCAGAAGTAGGAGAGGGGCTTCTAGGGGCCTCCCTGCACATGGGGCTGTGGGTTTTGGTGGAGGGAACTTCAGGACCCTCAACTGGAAGAGCAAGAAGGTGGCCTGCCCCTCAGGGAAGAAGGAGAGCTTCTTGCCACAGCCTTTTTAAGATTTTCTTACCCATGAGCAAGCTTTAGTCAGGGCATGCACCAGGCCAACTCCGAGGTTCCTGGGAAGTAGTTTGTTGATTCCACTTTACTACTTGGTAATCAAATTTGCAGCCCACCAACTTAGATTCAACGCTTAGGGAACTTTGGATTTGGCCAATGTGGTGGGTAAGTTTGTCTGTCAACTTGACTGGGCCTGGTTGAGTGGCTGGGCAGCTGGTGGTAGTTATTCCCCCATGATGAAACTGGCAGTCAGCCCCATGGTGGGACCTACCACAAGCAGCTGAGTAGCTGCTTTAGGGATGTGGTCTGCTTCCCATATATAAGAAACAGCTTTGGGAATGGTCTCTAGCCTATGGCATGCTTGGACCCTGCATGTAGCCATTGTCATTGTTCAACAGCCTGCCATGCTCTGCCAACCTTGGAACTTTCAGTGGACTTGAATTAATGGCCTGCCATGTGGTTTGGTAACATCAGGGCTGTGCCATTTTATTTGTTGACTTTGGGCTTGTTAGCCTCAGCAGCCAGTAGCTGCCTGAGTGAAGAGATGCCCCTAGCTTCAGTGGGCTGGGAACAAGAGGCAGAGCTGAAGCCCAAGGTCAAGGGGCTTTCACACAGCCCCTAGAGTCTGGCACTTTGAATTTGGATTTCTAGCCTCCTGAACTGTAAGAAAATAAACTCCTGTTTGTTCACACCATCCAATTTATGGTATATTCTTGTCAGAGTGGCACTAGGTAACCAGACCAGCCAGTAAGCCAGAGACCCAGGAGCTAGTATGAGAGTAACTACCATGGCCACACCACCTGCCCTCACTGGTGCTGGAGGGAGTGGTACAGAACTGACCTGATGGACAATCCACCCTCTTCTCACTACCCACTCTGTCTAGCAGAACAGATGGCCCACACAACATGGCTGGGATCTTAAGTGGTGGGTCTTCTGCTCATGCCATAAAGGGCAGCTCACTCCCTGTCAGGCTTACAGTAGCCTCTCCTGGTTCAGGCTCAAGTGCTGTGTGGGCTCCTCCTGTGGGTGTGTGGGTGTGCACATGTTTGCATGTAAATATGTTGTGTGTCAGGTTATGACCATGCTCTCACCTCCTCCTGTGCTTCTGTCTAGGTTGGGGTGACTCAGCAGGAACACCATCCGAGCAGGGGATGACATACGATGCACTCCATGTTTTTGACTGGGTGAAAGCAAGAAGTGGTGACAACCCTGTGTACATTTGGGGCCACTCTTTGGGTACCGGGTGAGCGTTACCTGCAGGTTCCTCAAGTACATGTGGGGCCACTCCTGGGGCACTGGGTGAGCATTTCTTGCAGGTGCTCCATGTATATTTGGAGCCACTCCCTGGGCACCGGGTGATCATTACCTGCAGGTTATGGGCCACTCTGGGTACCAGGTGAATGGTACCTGTAGGATGTGGCCTTTCACAGATCTTTTTGGGCAGCTTTCCCAAGAGAAGTACCCAAGGGAACCCCAAGTTATTGTTAGTTCCCCAAATCCTTGACCCCCTTATCTCCATAGAAAGGAAATGTTTGAAGTACCACAGAGACCATAAAGAGTTTGAGCTGCTCTAATTCCTTTACTGAAGTGACTGAAGACATTATGGGAAGATGTGGTGAAGATGCCTCTCTGGAGGTGTGGGTGTAAGGCCAGGGTTATGCCTTCAGTGCATGCAGAAAGTTGTGATGGCATTCTCAGGATGCACTTGGAACATCACATTTATTGGCTAATTTGGGCCAGCGTGACTTTGAGGTGTGCTTGCTTGTCGTCATATCCAGGTGCCATGGTGCTTCAAGTATGCAAGCTGAGGACATTTGTTTGTAAACAAATTGACCACTCAGATGATACTGGCGTATTACCAGAGAGCTTGAGGAAGGGAGCAGTGGCTGTTTCAGTTCCTATCTCTGCTCAGACAGGAAGCATTTTCATATTCTGTTTGTGGAAAGTCCAGAGTATTTCTGAAAGGACCCATTACTTTCAATGCCCAGACCCCAAGAGCATCAGCAGCCACATACCCCCTCATTGTATCTGAGGAAGCAGCCCTCCTGGCTCTAGCCTCTCCCTTGGACACCCTCCTATAGTTCATCCTAGGTCTGCAGGTTGGTAGTGTCTCAGGACAGGGCCTCTTCTCCCTTATTAGAGGAATGAGCAGTGGAGAGTCTCTGTATGCCCTGAGTGGAGGGAACAGGTCCCAGGTGTGGTATTGGGCTGCAAGCCTGCTGGGCTGGGCTGACTTATAAATGCTGCTGCCTCCCTCCCAGCTGGCAGGGCTGCCCTAGGTGCCTCTGTCCTGTCCAGCTCACCAGTGTCCACACTGACCTTGGTGTATCAGCTGAGAGGAAGGAATTGTGGTCCAAATGAAGCTGTCCTAGGTGAGGTGGTCAGAGGGTTAAAGCCAATTGCACAGGCTTCTGAACCCATCCACTGCTTTTCCAGGTGCCCTGGCATCTATCTTCCTGGAAGCTTCCTCATAACCATGCAACTCCCAGAGCACCTTGTTGAGCAGATATCTTAATCATGGTCTTACTAGGTTCAAATCTCTTTGATTTTGCTTAGGAAAAAAAATTATACACACACACACACACACACATATATATATGTGTGTGTGTGTGTGTGTGTATATATAATTTTTACAATCAGGAAACATTGAGTCCCATCATTAACAGATCCCTCAGCTTCTCTGGTCACTTTCCAGTATTAGAACAGTCTCATCTAAAACATTTTTGTCAGAATTCAACAATTTTTCTTTCTTTCCAGGGTTGCAACAAATTTGGTGCGACGCCTCTGTGAGCGAGGTAAGAGCTTATCTGAGCAGCTAGTTCACCTGTAGTTCCTGGAGTGTGGTCCCAGACCTGGCCTCCACAGGATGATCCCCACAGCTCTCTCTGGTGGGTGTTTCTGGGCCATCTTTGCTCCCCCTCATCATGGGACTTGGCATTTTTGAGGTGTTTGCTGCATTCCAGACCATGTTCCAAGTTCTTGTTAGGTAGATGGTACTTTCGCTCCCACAAACATATGATCAGCAGGGGCAGCACTGGGTTCATGCTGGCTCTGTGTTGGGACCAGCATGAGCCCAGTGTTGTGGGTTGGGAAGCTTAGGACCTACTTTCCCCAAGCCCCCTAGAGCACTGGGCTGGACCAGAGGCCTCTGTTACATTAAGCAGCTTCCTTAGCTGCAGGGGCTGGTGAGCTTATGAAGCCCACCAGAGACCTGTAAGGCTGCGGTTGGCAAGGTAGCTTCATAGCCCTGTGGTCACACAACCCACCTGGGAGAGATGGCACTGTTGAGAAGGGTTCCTAGGTGGAAAATTCCCAGGGCTAGGCGGGGCTGGTGGGATAAGCATCTGGGGCTCAGTGTTGTATATGAGAGGCATTAGGCTTCTGGGGGAGCCAGAACCTGAAGGGGTCTGGGCTGGTACCCTCCCAAGCAGTGTGTGTCAGCCCAGAGCCTCTAGTGAGGTGTCTTCTGAGGGAGAGCCTGTCTTGTCAGGCCTTCTTGCTCATCCCACCACTCCATTTGTTTTGTTTGTCTAGAGACGCCACCAGATGCTCTTATATTGGAATCCCCATTCACTAATATCCGTGAAGAAGCAAAAAGCCATCCATTTTCAGTGGCAAGTAGAGATTTTATTAAAAATTATTAAAATAATTACTATAGAATACTAACATAGCTATAAATAACTACCAAATAATTATTAAAATTACTATTAAAATATGCTAATAAAATACACATTTTACTAAAACTTAGCCACTATTTAGTTCTGGCCACAGGCCTGGTTATAGAACTACCCGGAAAGTTTGTAACTCACAAGGTAGGGTAGGGGCCAGGTTGTCACACAGCCTTGCCCACATGCTGCTGTGGCCATGGGATTCACCTGTGTTGGGGCATAAAGTCCAGGGGCAGCCTCTTGGGAGTGGAAGGGGTAGGCTGCCACGTCACTTTCTAGGTCAGCTCTTAAGGATAGGCAGCTCATCCTCGATGGTGAAGCCCGAGTAAACCTACTTTGGAATTCCAGGCAATCATGCCTTCACCCCAGAGCCTCAGCATTATTTTCAGAAGCCTAGCCTGGTAAGCTCTGGTAGCATAGTGGCTAAGACACTTGCCTGCTAACCAGATGGCTGGCGGTTCAAACCCACCAGCCACTCCTCGGAAGGAAGGTTGGGCAATCCTACTTCCGTAGTGATAACTGCCTCGGAAACCCAAGGAGGGGTCGCTATGAGTCGGGGCCGACTCGACGGCACATAACAACAACAACAACAACAGCCTGGTGAGAGTCCTTCTCATCCTGGATGCTTAGGGTTTCTTCAGCTGGCTTGTGTTCTGGAGGAGCTGTGAGTCTGCCCACCTGTCTTGATCTCATTCTGGTCTGTCCCAGGCCAGAAGAGTCCTTTGTTTTGTTTTAACTTTTTGTCTTGCCTTTCCCCACAACCCTTGCAGGGAAAATGACCATGGGTCCCATTTTATAGGTGTGGCAGGACTAGTATCTTTTAGAAGTCTGATTTCTCTGTTGAACTCTGGCTGCAGTCCTGTGGCAGGGCCGTATGCAGATCAGCCTCCATAGCAGCTGGGTCTTTAACCTAGAGGGGTGAACCCTCTGTTCCCAGTGGCAAAGCTCATCTGGAAGCCTCTTGAAGGAAGTGATTCTGTGACCTTTGGCACATGGTCATGAGGGTGGGGAGGTATAGGGGCATCCTGAGCATCACTTTAGTTACAAGTCCCACAGTCACCTGCAGGGGGTGGTAGGGTAATTACCCTTGGCTGTGTGTCTCCTCTGCCTCATCTTCTATTTTTGCCCTTAGAGCTTGGTAATTATGGGCAGTACTTTGTGAAACCTGTACTTTGACCTTTGCCTCTTGCATGGATATTTTGATAAACACTATGGAAACTCTCTTCATGTTGTCTTCAGATATATCGATACTTTCCTGGATTTGACTGGTTTTTCCTCGATCCCATTACAAGCAGTGGAATTAGATTTGCAAATGATGAGAAGTGAGTACCCAGGCACTTCCTAAAACCGCTACTTGGCCCTGACTCTCCCTGTTGAGCCCAGGCAAGAGCTTGGGTTGCAGGCAGTGCTATGGTCCTACCACCATTCCCCCTTGACCTCAGCTCTGACACCACTGGAAACTGAAGTCCCCTTGGATGGCAGCAGGCTGTTGCTGAAGTCACAACAAAGTATAGCACAGCAGAGACTCTCCTCCATTTCCAAAGCAAGAGAGAAGGGTGTGAGCTTATGTGCCACAAATAGTGAATGCCTGCTGAGGGTGCTGGTGCAAGTACACCCTCAGACCCAGGCACTGTGCCAGGCTAAGACCACTTGAGCCACTGTTAGGAGGCTGGCTGTTCTGCTGCTGTCACCAGCCCATAAGGAGGTATGTTCTAGGAGATACTCAGACCCCTTCCAGTTCTGGTGTCCTGTTATTCTGTTACGTAGCAGTTGAAAGGATTTGGATCTATTGAAAATTTTTATTTACTTATAAATGCTTAGATCTAGAATGCTCTAAGATGTTATTTACACCAAAATGAAGTAGAAAGTATTGACTTTTTGGGCAACAGATGCATAATAGCATTCACTTGCAATAGCTTTTTTGGCACACCTAAATTACTCACTTTACAAATATTATTTTGTAAATTGTAAAGAATGTATGTACTGACAAAAGTAATTATTTTAAATTTCCAGAAAATGTACAGGGGCCAGATTTTGGTGACTGAATTGATCTCTAGATTTAAATTCAGACTATCACCTAGCTAATGAGGGCATTGGTAGTTCAGAGGTAGAATTCTTGCCTTCCCCACAGGAAACCAAGTTTGATACCTAGCCAATGCACCTCTTATCTGTCAGTGGAGGCCTCTGTGTTGTTACTAGCTGAATAGGTTTCAGCAAAGCTTCTGAACTAAGGTAGATTAGAAAAAAAAGCCTGGTGATCACTTTCCAAAAATCACCTGATGGAAGCCTTATGGACCAAAACAGTCTGCTTCTCAACTGATCATGGGGATGGTGCAGGACTGGGCAGTGTTTTGTTCCATTGTACATGAGGTCACCATAAGTCAGGGACCAACTCGATAGCATCTAGCAACAATAATCCCTAGCTAAAATAGATGTTGATAGAAATATCTAAGAAATCAACTTTTGGTTTTCTAGTAAAAAGAACTTTTGGTTTTCTAGTAAAAAGAACTCAGCAGAATTTAAGAGCCTCCCAAAACCCAAATCAGGGTATGTAAGACCCACATGCTCCCTTACCCTGTCTTCTCTGGTCTCTGTGTGCTATCTGGTCACCTCTTTCCTTCCCCCCAACCCACCACCTCCTAGTGTGAAGCACATCTCCTGCTCCCTGCTCATTCTGCATGCAGAGGATGACCCAGTTGTGCCCTTCCAACTGGGCAGAAAGGTGAGTGCCCTGAGTTGCTGATTCCCCTGGCCTGGACAGGTATCCAGAGGCCCCAGGCCTGGCCCAAGGACCATTGTCTATGGACTGAGCTTTTGGGCCAGCCAGGATGGGCATAGACAGGCATGGAGAAGGGTCCTACTGCTGGAAGGGGCTCTTTGGGAGGAAGAGAAAAGCATATGAAGCCTGTGCCAAGAGGATGCCCTGTATGCTACAGGTTGGGGTTGAGGCACCAGCACCTATGGCATGAGCAAGACATTTTCATTAGACTCCTCAGGCAGACTGCAAACACAGAGAGCCCTGTCCTATGGATTGCCATCAGGTTTCTCAAGAAAGGCATGGGATTCCTGGTATTGAGTAAGTACAGACAGCTGGTGCAGCCCATGGGAGAGAGGAATCATAGAAAATGATCTCCATGCAAGTCTCCATCAGGGAGGCGTTTCCTGTGTGGATGGAGCCCAGGCAGACAGTGGCAGAGACATACTTGTTTCCTAGACTTGGCAGGATGGCTCTCTACCTATTGGTTGAAAGGAGCAGGCCCCTTGATGAGCTTTCCCCCTAGCCCAAACACTTTGGTCCCGAGTCAGTAGAGTTGATATGAAAACTTCTAGTCTGTTTCTTGCTTTTGGGACTGTAGTAATATAAGAATACCCTGCTGACTGTCGGCCTTGTTACTGTTGTTAGGTGCCATCTAGTCACCTCCAACTCCGAGTGAACTCAGAATGAAACACAGCCTGGTCATGTGCCAGGCTATACTTGCTATACTTTACCCCATTGTTGCAGCCACTGTGTCAATCCATCTCATTAAGGGTCTTCCCCTTTTTCTCTGACCCTCCACTTTACCAAGCATGATATCCTTTTCTAGGGAATGGTCCCTTCTGACAACATGACCAAAGTAGGTGAGATGAAAGTCTGGCCATTCTTGCTTCAAAGGAGCATTCTGGTTGCACTTCTTCTAGGACAGATTTGTTAGTTCTTCTGGCAGTCCATGGTACTTTCAGTATTCTTCTCTAACACCACAACTCAAAAGCATCAACTCTTCTTTGGTCTTTCTTATTCATTGTCCAGTTTTTACATGTATATGAGGTGATTGGGAGTTCTGGTGGTATAGACGGCATTTATTTGACTGCTAACCAGAAGGTTAGCACTCCTCAGAAGGAAGACTGGGC